TTCCTCAAGGCTGTTATAAGGACTTTGAGAGCAACAGCCATGTTCATAGATTTATTCCTGCTTGTATCTGAACCTAGAACAGACTTCAGACACAAACACTTTTTTAACCAAGGCATACATAAAAGAATAAAAAAAAGCCAGGTGTGGTGACACATGCCAGGTGGCATATCTCTTGTGTTCCAACCAGCTTAGTCTAGAGAGGGAGTTCCAGAACAGCCAAGGCTACACACGGAGAAAAAACAGCATACAAATAAAATAAAAACAAACAAAAGAAAGAAGAAAAAACAAAAACCAAGGGAGTGGAGAGATGGCTAAGCATATGCCCTGCCAAAGGTCCCAGGTTCGATTCCCAACACTGACATGGTGGTTCACAACCATCTTTAATCCTCTTGGATTTCGGGGATCCAACGACTTCTTCTGCCTGTAGGCACCAGGCAGGAACTGGTGCAAATATACATATGCAGGCCAAACACTCACATACATAAGATAAAATTTTAAATAAATAAACAAAAGCCAGCACAGTGGTGCACAGCTTTTATACCGGCACGGGGCAAGGCAGGAAGAGCTCTGTGAACTCGAGGCTTAGCCTGATCCATACAGTGAGTTTCAGGCCAGCCAGGAATACACAGTGAGCCCGTCTGAAAAGAGAAAAAACATGTATTAGGAACACGATGTAGCTCCGTGACGGAGGATGGCTCACGGTACCCACAAAAGGGAAACAATGAATGTACTCAAACGGAAAAGTCTGAGACAACAGAAGGGTACAAACAAAGTCTCCTGGAACGCAGCGCCACACACAATGTCCACACAAGCGAAGATCTCTGAAATCACTCCGTTCCGAAAAGATGAATACGCAGACACCGCTTAGTGACAGGCGGGAGGGCCTAAACAGACACTGGAGAGGAGCCAGGCTGCACACACCGGCAGGCCTTGGGCTCAGGGCGGGATCGACAGGAAGACGGGGCAAACGGAAGCCCTTCGCCAACGAGAACGTGACTAACGTACGTCAACATCACTTCCGGCTTGGTGGTTAACGCGGGAAACAAAAGGAGCAGGAGGACGCATGCGTTAAGCGGGTCCCGGATTCGGGTGGGTTCTTCCGGCCGGGGTAAGCGCTTCCGGGTCGCCGCCGGCTGCCGGCTCTTGGCGCGGTAAGTGCGCAAAAGAGGCTGTTGCCATTTCCTTGCTGGCTCTTTCTTCTTGCTGCCAGAGAAACCCAGTTCCTTTGCCCTGCCTCCCCAGCAGCTCACTTTCCGCTCCTTTGCTCTCAAAGACATCGTGCGCACTGGCAGCTTCCTTAAGCCTAAGCCCCACCCATCACACAAGTTCCGTCATTCATTGGTTTCACTTCCTGTCACCCAGCTTTTCTTTCAGTTAATTGGCTTCAGCCGTGCCGCGCGCATTTTGCGATTAGCATCCCTATAAGGTCAAAATCCTGACGGAGACCCGCCCCTGCTTTCTTCCTGTTGGTCAAACTCATCGTCATTATCATAATGAGCAAAGAATGGGCAGTGGTGGGTAGGATTTTAGGACACAGAATCTGTCAATACTTTTGGGATTAGGGTGGTCTCTGTTTGCCTGTCACGCGGTCCTGGGGAGCTTTTGTCTAGGGAATGACAGCGGCCAGTTCTGTGTCGGTCAAATTAAGTTAGAACAAAAGATAGAGTAGATCGGGTGTGGTGGCTGGCGCACACCTTTAATCCCAGCATTCGGGGGCTGAGGCATGTGGATCTCTGTGAGTTTGGGACTAGCCTGGTCTATATAGTGAATTCCACGCCGGTCAGGGCTACATTCTGAGACCCTATCTCATTTAAAAAAGGGAAAAAGAAAAAAGGAGACACCGATTCTGTTTTTCTTGCGCTCTTCCTACAGTGCTGGGCCAGGATCCCTTCCTGTGTGTGTTCTTAGCCCCAACACAGTGTGCGGCCCAAAGTCAAGCTCTGCCTGTCACTGGGTTTGTGAGCTGATGGATTTTAATTCAGCTTCTTGGTGATCGTCTTGGTCAGCAGCTTCAGTCCACAAAGTTGATTTCATTTGTTCTCTTACATGTTAGTTCATCATTCATAATTCCATTTATTTATCTATCCTTGCCTCCTAGAATATTTTATTTTTGGTTGTATGTAGTGCAGTTTGACTGTGGTTGGTTAGAGAGCTAGTTCATGTCCAAAACATTTTTTTTGCACTGGTTGGTTGTGACCTGACTTAAAAGAGCAAAAAATAAGGTTTATGGTGTGTGCGTGTTTAAAGAATTTACCTAGATCCTGCCATCGCTAATTTTGTACATACAATTTTGTACATACATTCCATCTCTGGCTCCCAGTCTCATCTCTCTTTGAGCAGCATACAACTTTACCCATTATTTTATTTTGTTATCAGAATTATTTTGAGGATGATATAATTGTAATTATCCCCATTCTTACAGATGAGGAAACTGAGGCCCAGAGAGGTTAAGTGTATTGGCCAAAGTCAAACAGCTAGTAAGTGATGGAGCCAGGACTCAAACTCAGGTCTGTCTGATTTCGAGAGGGAAGGGCTGCTTCTCTGCTACCTTCCTCACCAACCTACCCTAAATCAAATTACAACTGCATCAAAACAAAACAAAGCATATTCACCTGACCCTTTCCCTCAGCTTAGGAGCGATGTCCACCTTGTTCCCTTCACTCTTCCCTCGTGTGACTGAGACACTGTGGTTTAATCTGGATCGACCCTGTGTGGAGGAGACAGAGCTGCAGCAGCAGGAGCAGCAGCATCAGGCCTGGGTGAGTGAGGACCTAGCAGAGCATGAAGATGTACCATCTGGATCATGACCTTGCCTTATCCCGGAAACCTGCTTAGAAAAAAGCATTTTTCTCTGAGTTGGGAATAGTCAAGCTGGGTATTTGGGTTCTCACTTTGTGGTGCCCTAACCTGGCTGAGGGACCTAGGACCTCATGCTAGAGTAGAAAAATGTCAAGCTCCTGGCAGCTTATGTTTTCTATAAATCACAGGACTTAATCATTTTAACTCTTAATAAGGACCTACAAGATGCTAAGTGTCTCATTTCACCCTCACGAGAGTTATATGAAAAAACTGAGGCCAAAAGACATTACATATGTCTATCCGTTTTATAAGGAACAGATGAAAGGGGTTTGAATCTTCCTGAAAGCGGGGTGAGGGGTGGGGGGGGCTTTGTTTCAACATTTGGGGTCTTTTAAGGGGTAGAGCGAGCAGTCCCATGCCCCTGACCTGCTATGCTTGGGCCTTGGCCCTGCTTTTCCCTGTACTCCTTTGCCCACAGCTCCAAAGCATCGCAGAGAAAGACAACAACTTGGTACCTATTGGCAAGCCTGCCTCAGAGGTGAGTGGCTTCTGTGGGTGGGGCCTGTGTGAAGCCCAGCAGACCAAGGCTTTGCTTTAATTTAATGGCCTTGCTTCTGACTCAAAGCAATTGTGGATTTCAATCTGGGTAGACAGCAAAAGTGGGAACTTGTGGGGCTAGGCGCTGGGCCTAGCACTAAGGTCCTTCAGGTCATGTAGTAGCCTGCCAGCCTCCAGGTGGGTAGGGTTGAGAAGGAGGAGGCCAGCTCTTGACCTGGTCCAGGTAGCCCTGAGCCTTACAGACTCTTTTGTCCCACCAGCACTACGATGATGAGGAAGAAGAGGATGATGAAGATGATGAGGACAGTGAAGAGGATTCAGAAGATGACGAGGACATGCAGGACATGGATGAGATGAATGACTATAATGAGTCACCTGATGATGGAGAGGTCAATGAGGTAGGCGGGGTGTAGGGGAGTGCCTTTGTTCCTAGGCTCCTGCCCCTGATGTAATTGATGGCCAAGGGATACAGAAACCCTGGCTCTACCCAAGGGCAGGATCTGGGCTGAGGCTGGCCAAGGCCCCTCCCCACCCACACCCAGCCTCCTCTTCAGGTGGACATGGAAGGCAACGAACAGGATCAGGACCAGTGGATGATCTAGGTAGACAAGCCAAGGTGGCCTCAGGGTGATTCCAGGCCACCCCAACCTATTTTGCATCCACAGCCTCAGCCCCTCAGCCTGCAGAACCAGCTTGTGGCTTTCCCTTAGGCACTTTCTCAGCTGCTGCCAGGACAAGGTCTCCTTGGGCCCTTCCAGGCCATCAGTCTTCCCTTGAATCCCTAGAGCCTGAGCCCATCCCACCTTCCTGGCTGGTACCTCATTCCTTGGTTGCCAGGTGTGGTTCCTTTTTAACCTTAATAAAGACACAGGAGTGACTCTTCCCCCAATGTCTATTCCCTGTTTGTTGGTGGGACCCAGAGAGTTCAGCATCTTCTGGACATCGGGAAGGGGTCATGTAAGGGATCTCAAGCAAAGCTAACCGACCATTTGGGCCAGGATGGAGCCCAGGCTTCTGTGATTGATAATTCCCATGGCCTAGCTTGCACCCAGATGCCCCTACTGGGTCTCACTGTCTTCAGCTGCCTCTGACCCTATCTAGAAGCTAAGTCTCACAGTTGGGCGCTCTGGGGCTCTGCCAGCCAGATGTCTTCTTTTTGTTTTATTTTATGCTTGTAGGTGTTTTGTCTGCCTGTATGTATATCACGTGTGCCTGTGCCACTCGAGTGCTGGGAACTGAACCCAGGTCCTTTGGATAGGGAGTAGCAGTCAGTGCTTTTAACTGTTGAGCTATCTCTCCAGCCCCTTTAGCCATCTGTCTTAGTGTTAAGAGAGTAGACTGAATCTCAAGACAACGGAAGGACTCACCTGGAGGGAGCAATCAATAGCAGAAGTAAGTTGAAAAACAGGCCTCTTGCTTCCAGTTCCTGATTTTCTAGGAGGAGAGCTTCTGGGACCAAGAAGGCTGATAGAATTTGACACTTCAGATCAGCATGGAGGTTGGAAGGGGACAAATTTGAGAAGAAAGCCTCCCCAGCTTGAGCCTAGCATGGTGTTGGATACTAAACAGAAAGGGAAAAGGGATATTCTGAGGTCTTCTTGAGTGGGTTGGGATTGTAGTAGTAAATATTCAGGTCCTGGCCCTCAGCCAGGTCCAGTATAAGTGAGTTGGGCTATGCCATCCTTGATGGCAGGGAAGTCTGGGAGGCTGGTGTGGTGGAGGCGGCAGCGATAGCGACCGCAGCTCTTGGTGTATTGTAGGAAGCGGGGTGCACCAGGAAAGAGCACGTGGTCAGCCAATACGGTGGCACCATGTGGGAGCAGAGCATGGGCCTCCAGTAGCTGCAGATCCCTTAAGTAATCTCGTCGCCTGTGTGCCAGGAGCACCAGATCTGCCCGATTCAGCTGGTGCTGAGCGCTCAGGCGTGGGATCACTTCTTCCGAGCTGCCTGCAATGAGCTCCACCTGTGGGGAAAGCCGTAGCTGGAGGTGAGGGTAAGGACTGCTGTTGCGCTCTAGACCCCACCAGGCTCTGGCTAACTTCACGCCAGTTACTGGTCTAGGCCCTCACAAAGTGTCTCACATTTCCTCTGGCCTCAGAAGCTCAGTGTCAACATCAATATTGTAATTTCCATTATGTGCCTATGATGAAGCTGAGAATAAGGATATGTGCTTCACCTAAGGTCACAAACCAACCGACTAGTGAGAGCTAGACTCAGATTTGTTGGGCTATGAAGAGCTTTCTCTTAGCTGCTGCTTTTGTAGTCCAGCAGGAAATAAGTTCAGATGACTCGAGATTGGAGGATAGGAACTACATGGCCTCCAGGATGCCAGCTGCCTGAGTGGAGATGCTTCCTTGAATGGGAGTCCCTCACAAAAGAGGCCTGGCTAGAACAATTCCTGGGATAGTTGTGGAGAGGTAAGCTTTGGGGAGATGGGGAGGCTGACCATTTGCTCATGGAAGCCAGCGAGCCGGATGAGTTTCTCAGCTACTGCTGCTGTACGTGGGTCCCGCTCCACAGTGAGGAGGCGACTCCCAGGGGGTAAGGCACGCGCAATAAACAGTGTAGAGTATCCGCAGTAGGCGCCCAGCTCCAGCACACAAGCAGGGGCCTTCTCTTCCACCAGCCGCATCACAAGTTGACCTGTGGGGCAAGATGGCTGTTAGAGAAGACCTCAAAGCAGAATGAAACAGGCTGGGCTTCCTTCATGTTGTATTTACAGAGGAGGCTGACAGTCTGACTTTGCCCTTTCCCACCCCTATCTCCATCTACTTGGCCAACTTAAAACAAGCCTTCAGCCCAAATGTTCCTTCCTGCAGGAGGGCCCAGGCAAAACCACCCACCCTATCTTCCAGGTTCCTGAGACATTTTGCGTTTCATACTTGAACCCCTGCACTCTGTTATTTCTGATTGCCTTTTTGATTTTGGAATGGTATACATCTCTTAATACTTAGAAGTACTTGTGCTGTTTTGGTAGACAGCTATCTTGAATTGAATGTGGAAGTCTCTTTGGTAGAGAAGAAAGTCTAGAAGCGATCATTACAAAACTCTTAGTTATGGTATTTCCCCATGTTACGCTCTTTTCGAGGCCAACATCTGTGGCTGGTTCACCCTCTGTGATCTCTACCTCTTCCCTCAGCACCTGGCACAAAAGAGTGGCAATAAATGTCTGCTGGATAATTGAATAACTTTGTCCAGACTCCTCATTTCTAAATGAGAGTGGAAAAAGTCACAAGCACAGCATGAAGCTTCCTAATTTACCCAGTTAAGCAGTGGGTGATGCTAGATCTTTCTTCACTGTCTTGGGATCTTCTCAAACAGGAGGCTAGGAAAAGGGACACTGACCTTTTACAGGGCCCATGTGGCTCAGGTACTCGCAGCAGCTGCTCCAGTGGTCTAGAGTGGTGAGGATGTGCCCGGGGTCTCCAGGCAGGGCATGGGTGAGCACATAGCTGAAGGCCCGCTCCTCAACTCGAAGCCCTGACAGGCTGTCTCGGAAACTCCTCAGTAGGACCATACGCACCAGCAGTCGGAAATGGTGTCGGTATCTCACCAGCAGTGTCACCACCAGTGGCAGGAATGCCAGGGCAATGGCAGGGGACATCGTCCCTCATGGGGTCCTAGGATAGAGGGAGACTGGGAGGGAAGCCTGCATGTACCACTGGCCTGTTGTCTGTGCAGCCTTTATCACTTGCAGTTACCATGCTTAAACAAACCACGGCTGAGAGGCTGTCTTTTGCAGGGACAAGGCAGAACTGGGATTGGAGTAGATTTGAATTCCAGCCTCATGCTGCCAGTGTTTAGCGCTCAGCCACAAACTCTTTGTGGCCCTGGCTGCAGATCCATTACTCCATTGTTTGCTGTCTCACTCACTTTGACTTTCCTAACATAACTCTTCAGGACCTTTTTCATTAGTTTCCTGGGGAGTCTTCCTCCCACCATACTCCATCTGACTGGACTCCTCTGACCCATGACGGCGTAACAAAAGAGAAAAGCTCTGTTTACCCTCTTCACACTCTGACGGTGCTAAGCCTAAGTAAAGGTAATCAAGACACTCCATCTGAGTCTGCAGGCTGCTCAGTGGTTACGAGCTCTTGTTGCTCTTGCAGAGCACCTAGGTTCTGTCCCCAGCACTCATATGGTAGTTCACAACCATCTGTCAGCCCAGTTTCAGAAGACGTAGCCCCCTCTAATGACCTCCAGAGGCTCACACGAGGGATGAACACAAATATAAGCAAAACACTCATAAAATCTTAACAGCAAAAAGCCCAACCGAACAAAAAACATCTGAGCACTGGCTGCTCTCCCCGAGGTCCTGGGCTTGGTTCTTAGCACCCACATCTGGTGGCTCACAGCTGTCTGTAACTCTAGTCTGGAGGGCCCAGTGCCCTGTCCCGGTCTCCGTGGGCCCTGCGTACATGTGGTGCACAGAAACACCTTCAGGCAAAGCGCCCATATGTATATAGAAGTAAATAAAAATCTTTAAAAAATAGCACTGTCCGTGGCATTGTGGTGAACACTTGGAATCACATCATGAGGAAAGCCAAGGTAGAAGAATCCCAAGTTTGAAGCCAACCTGGACTACAGTTAAGACCCTGTCTCAAAGACCAATCCACCCTCTATGCCATGTCAGACTGGGATGTCTTTTTTTTTTTTTTTCTATCCAGGGACTTTTCCTTTCCTGTCTGCTCTTCCCTGGAGGTGTGAGTGCTCTTCGGTTCTACGTATTTTCTCTAGTCCTGTATTTATGTATTTGTAGTCGTCCCCTTCACTAAGAATTCTCTTTGTGGGCTGGAGAGATGGCTCAGTGGTTAAGAGCACTGGCTGCTCTTCCAGAGGCCCTGTTCAATTCCCAGCACCCACACAGAGGCTCCCAACCATCTACAGTGTGATCTCGAATCCTCTTCTGGTGCGCAGGGCACATGCAGATGAACATGTATGCACAATAATCTTTAGAAACTTCTGTAAGTGCGAACATGCACACGCACCCCCACGCTTCCTCGCCACTCAGCCTTCTCCAGGACACCTGTAGGGAGAGCTGTCTTTTTTCTGACCCTGCCTCACCCCCCCAAAGCTGGCCTCGGTGCGCTGTTTTTGCAAGATCCTTGGGTGGTAGGGGAGTGCATGCTAAAACTTAGAGTGAATGAATGAATGTGAAGCATCTGTGATGTGGGCATGAATTGGTGTGCTTGGGAACCCACAAGGCCCTGCTTACCTGGGCTGAAGGCTCCTAGGAAAGACCAGAGTAGCGGAATGGGAAGTCCCTGAGAGGAATAACCCTAAAGAAGGAGGCTGGACCTGATTTCAATTATTGATGCTGAGGCTGCTGTTACCTGAGACCTGCAGTTCAGGTTACCAGACCCAGGGACAAACTCCAGCTGCCTCATATTCTTCAGGGAACTTAGAGGAACTTAGCAGAGCTCAACAGTCTTGATTTGAAGAATTGACTAATGCCTTGGCATCAGGACATAGGCCATAATAATTGGGACTTATTACTCAGTTCAAAATCCAAGTTTTCTGTAAGGGCATCAGTCACAGAAAAAAAGTTAGATTCTGGCCCTGTCTTCCAGTTACTTATGTTTGGTAGAAGAGATGAACTCAATAACACAGGTATAGAATAGGCTGTGATCGCCAGACTGGGGATTCCATGATCAGGACTTTGGGCTATTTCCTGACTAGCTGCCTATCCAAATTGAATACTGGAGTGTCACACTGTAGACAGTAAATAGTTGGTTTTCTTTTGAGTATTTATGTATATGAGTGCTCTATCTGCATGTACACCTGCACACCAGAAGAGGGCACCAGATCACATTATAGATGGTTGTGAGCCACCATGTGGTTGCTGGGAATTGAACTCAGAACCTCTGGAAGAACAGACAGTACTCTTAACCCCTGAGCCATCTCTCTGGGGGTGTTTTTTAATTAATTTTATTTGTTTATTTGATGTGTATAGGTGTTTGGTAAAAATGTTGATCTGTGCACCACCTAAGTGTACATGCCTGCTGTCAGAGGGCAGTTTGAACTACCATGTGGGTGCTGGGAATTGAACTTGGGTCCTCTGGGGGGGCAGCAGCCAGTGCTCTTAATCACCCAGTCTCTAGCCCCAACATTTGCTAATTTAATAAGTGAATGACATGGGATTAAGGAGATGGATGTGCTCAGGAAAAGCAAACAGGGAGAAGGGTTTGTACTGAGGCTTTAAAGACTGTCACCCCTGATTTGGAGGGAGGAGTGTCTGCTACCTGTCTGTAAAGGCAGAATTCACCTTAATCAAGAAACTGTGGGAGCTGGAGAGATGGCTTGGAGGTTAAGAGCACTGGCTGCTCATCCAGAGGTCCCGAGTTCAGTTCCCAGCAACCACATGGTGGCTCACAACCATCTATGGTAAGATCTGGTGTTCAGGTATACATGCAAGACAGCATTGTATACATAATAAATAAATCTTTTTTAAAAAAGTGCCAAATATAGTTCTAGAGAGATGGCTAAAAGGTGCCTGCCGCAAAGCCTGACAACCTAACTTCAATGCCTAGGACCCACATGAAAGCAGACAACAAACTCCCACAAGCTGTTCTGTAACTTCCACATTCATGTACGTACTCAAAAATTTAAAAATATACAGTTTTGCTGGGCACGGTGACATATGCCTTTAATCCGAAGAAGGCAGAGGCAAGCGGCTCTCTGAATTTGAGGTCAGCCTGGTCTACACAGCGAACTGCAAGCCAGCCAGGGCTACACAGTGAGTCCTTGGTCTCTCACACACACAAAAACTGGCAAATGTCTGCATGAAGTACACCTCTCGAGTGGCACTGAGGAGTTTATCCGACAGCTCTCAGACCCACAGGGTGGCCTTGACGCCACGTGATCACACAACTCAACTCACATGGCCGAGGCCACTAGGGCCAGGGGACGACGGGATTCACATCTAGAGACTGGGACAACAAAGTCATGTGACTCGCCCCGCCTGGCCTCGGATCACGTGCCCCGGGTCCTGTCACGTAGGACGCACTTTTCCTTTGGTTGGCGATGGTCACGCGGCAGGGCGGGACCGGAAGCAGGGATTTGGCCGCGGCGCCCTAGCGGCTTTGGGACGGGCTGGGCGCGGGGGGAGGGGAGCGGGAGGCAGCCGCGGGTCATGTGACCGGAAAGGCTCCTGACGGACGCCGTCCCTCCTCGGCGCCGCCTGAGCGCCCGGCCCGACCCCGCCATGGGGTGCTGCTACAGCAGCGAAAACGAGGACTCGGACCAGGTGCGGCCGCGGCAGACGGGGTTTGGGACTGTAGGCTACGACCGCGGGACTAGGGGTCCAGAAAGGAAGCCCGCCGGCGGCGGGGAGCCGGGTGCAGGCTCGCTGAGTACGGAGGCCTGGAGGGGACAGATTACGGCGAGGACGGCCAGCCGGGCTCCTACCCTCCTAAAGATCCTGGTCTTACTCCTGCCTAGGGTTCCGCTGGCCGCGGCCTGACTCGGCCCCTCCCCTTCCAGTTTCCGACACCCTCGTACTCTTCACAGCTTGAATCCTCAGCTGGGTGTCTGGGAAGCTGTCGCTTTCCCAGATTCCTGTGCCTTCACTGCAGCTTGTATTCGTGAACTTTGCGTACCCATTCTAGAGATAGGTAATCTGAGGCTCAGTCTTCCGAGATAAATCAGGAATTTTTGTATGTTCCTTGACTGGTGTCAGAGACGTAATGTCATACTGCTGGCTTGGTGTCAGAAGGCCTCTGGAAGTTGGTGGCATTTGAATTGGCCAGTGAAGAATTTAAGAGAGTGAAGACATCAGGATTTGGGGAAAGCAGTAGAGTTTTGCTTTGACTGATAGGGAGGGAAGAGGGAATGGGGAGCTCCTTTGGCTTATGAGTTTGGCTTGCTGTTCTCTGCCTGGTGCCTGAAGTTTCCTCTAGTTAGAGAGTGCCTCTCTGAAGAATGTGGCTGTAGCTCTTATTCCTCTGAGGAAGCATCAGCTTGGAGAGACTTGCACTGTTCTCTTTTCCCTTTAATTTTCACCTTCCCCTGGTACATTCTCATCCTTCTCCCCATCACAGTGCCCGCCCCGCCTTGAGGAGGGGGAAGCTTCTGTAAGGCAGGGTGCCAGCCCCTGGCCATACCTTTTACAGTTGCCTCAAAGCCTGAGTTCTGCTTTCTCCACACAGTGGGCCCTGAGCCACAGAGAACAGTTTCACCCAGGCTAGTGGAGGATATGTCAGAGGAGTGAAGGACATCACTGTACTCAGGCAGTGCTTCTTTCCCAATTCTTACTTTGGCAGTCCAGAAGAATGTGATTTTTATGGCTGCGTGAGTGGTTACTGAGCCCTCAAACACATTCATTAGTGACGTGCCAAGAATCTTTCTCTTCATCCTGTCCTGCTACAGGAGAGAAGAGCAAATAGGAACCTACCACAAAACAAAAAAGGAGACTGCACTATTCCTAATAGCAGTGCTGTGGCCTACTAAGAAAATGTCTCATCTTTTTTTCCAGACAGGGTTTCTCTGTGTAACCTGGGTGTCTAGGCCTGGGTGTCCTAGAACTCACGTGAACTCATAGAGATCTGCCTCCCGAGTGCTGGGAACAAGGCGTGTGCCACTGTGGTGGGCTGAGTACCCTTTCTA